CTGGTGAGGGATCTGGTGTGAGGAGTGAGGAGAGGCAGGGGTCCTGGCTGCTTCTGAGTGCCTTGGGGATGTGGTGCCCAACAGGAGAGGTTTGACGAGCAGGGAGGTGAAATTGTTATTAGACCTGCTGAATTCTAGGTCGGTGGTCACTGGGGGACCCAAAAGGAGGATTCAAGTAAGCAGCTGGTTTGGGGTCTGGGGCTGGAGAGGATTGGCTGAGCCCAAAGACTGTGGGAGTCTCATCTTAGTGAGAGAGAGATGGCCACTGACGCCTCAGAGAGGACATCGCTCCCCAGGTCCCACACCTCACCACCACGTTCCTGTTCCAGGTGCTTCCTGCGTGTGATTCATCACGTGAAACCATAGGACACGCATTCTGGCTTTTTGCTCACCATACTGGTTGCCATTTTCCACAGTAATACACAGACTTCATAACGTTCACCCAAAAGGCTATGCAATGTTCCCTCCACTGGGTGGGCACGGTTTAGCCAGCCCTGGTGCTGGGCTGTTGTGGTTGTTTTCCGCGGTTTGCTGTGTACAAGGCTTTCCACATGTGGGATTGTCTTTTCAGGGGGTTTCCCAAAAGTCAAATCCCAGAGTCCTTGCACCACGGGGTTTAACCAGATCAGACATGTGGTAACTTGGATTTGGTTTCTTGGGTTGTTACTTGGATTTGGTTTCTTGGGCTGGATTCAGTTTCCACTGGAGATGACCCCATGTGGACATGGTTGGGAAGGGAATTCCAGATCAGAGGAACCAACCCAGCCCAACCTGTGTCCATCTGGAGCTGGGTGTTGGTGGAGAGAAGGTTCTGAGGGTGCAGCTGGGCCTGGCTCGCCCTCACCACACCGTTTCAGCCAGTCCTGCCTTCCCAGAGGCCTGCACATCCTACCCCGACTCTGATGTGGGTGGGCACACAGGAAGTTGAGTTGAAAGGAGAACTCACTTAGAGATTTCCAGGGGGGAAATCTAGAAAGACCTGGGACTCCAGTGGTTCATTCACTCAACATTTATTAAGTACCTGTTGGGCACCACACATGGTTCATCAAGAGAGACATGATCCCACCCTATGGACCAACTGCCCCTAAGGGGAGCCCACCAGAGTTTGTGGAACCCAAAGGTGAAATTATAGTGATCGGGACTACCCAGCAGGAGGGACTAAGATGACCAGTAGCAGGGCTGTTTGGCCTGGTCAGGGAGGTCAGAGAAGACTTTATTGAGGGAGCCAATGGAGCAGGAGGCTAGAGAGCTGGGAGTTGGAGACAAGGGGTACGGTGTAGGGCAGGGTGTAGGGCAGCCGTGGGCAAACTACGGCCCGCCGGCCCGATCCAGCCCGTTTGAAATGAATAAAACTATTGAAAAAAAAGACCGTACCCTATTATGTAATGATGTTTACTTTGAATTTATATTAGTTCACACAAACACGCCATCCATGCTTTTGTTCCCGCCCTCTGTCCAGTTTAAGAACCCATTGTGGCCCTCGAGTCAGAAAGTTTGCCCACCCCTGGCGTAGGGGTGGGATGATGTAGGCTACAGGGAAGAGCAGGCTCTGCTGAGCCTTCAGGCCCCAGGTGAGAATGTTCTCCTTTCCCTAAGGGACAGGGGAAGCTATTACTAGCAGAGGTTCTCAACCTTCCTAATGCCACGACCCTTTAATACAGCTCCTCATGTTGTAGTGACCCCCAACCATAAAATTACTTTCGTTGCTACTTCATAACTGTAATTTTGCTACTGTTATGAATCGTCATGTAAATATCTGATATGCTATATGTGTTTTCCGATGGTCTCGACCCACAGGTTGAGAACCGCTGGCTGCGGAGGGGTGACAAGACTAAATTTGCCTTTCAAATGTTGGTTTTGGTTGCCCAGGGGAGAATGGCCTGTAGGGGGGCCAGAGGGAAATGAGCAGCCCATCCTCAGGTGTCCTGAGAACCACTGGGAGCCACAGCACTCAAAAGGCAGAGAGAGGCTGGACCCTTGGACCACCCATGCTCTCTGTCGATAGAGGGGCCCGTGGGGCCCCATGGCCAGGACCCAAGGTCACTCAGGTAGCAGCATCCTTACCTCACTCCAGCAGAGCCAGGAGCAGGAAGACAAGAATGGCCTCTGGACAGCCAAATGCCTGGCTTAGTTTTGACCTTGCTCAACTAAAGCCTCAGCCCTTCACCACCTAACTCTTACTTTGCATACAGTTCTAACTCAGCCTGCTAGTGGGTTGAAGCAGCAAGTTGGAAAGGGCTAAGGCTGCGGTGGGTGGAAGGAGGATAACAGGGTGGTGTGACTGCACATGGCAAGGGGAAAGGCCATGAAATAAACATCAGAACACAAAAGGCATGTTCATGTCAGAACTCGGCTCAGGGAGGGTGGGAGTGTGGAGAACGGCATGTGCAGAATGCAGCGAGGAGCCCACTGGGTCAGAAGGCAGGACCGCTGGGTCAGAAGGCAGGACCGCTGGGTCAGAAGGCAGGACTGCTGGGTCAGAAGGCAGGACTGGGCCCTGGACTGGGGTAAGGTTAACGCAGAGGCGAGGCTCAAATATAAAGATAGATCCCAGTCAGGGCAGTCTCAAGAGACCAAACTCATGACACAGAGTCACCAAGGTTAATATGGATGAGACCTCGGAACGTCTCACCCACCCGTGTGGCTGAGTGAAGGGAAGCTGCTGAGTCTGCGGGTCTAGAGGCCAGGGATGGAGACCTGCAGGGGGCGTGTGATTCAGCTTGAGGCCGCCTCCTGGGGCTCAGGGCTCAGGTTTCCATGGGGATGGTGGATAGTGGGCTCAGAGGAAACCTCCCTCCTGCTTCCCTTCCTCTGCTCCCTCCTCCCCTCCATCTTTTCTTTCCACCTTCCTGCCCACAGTTGCCTTCCTTGAGCCTGGAGGGAGGGGCCTGGAGGAGCAGGAGAAAAGGCCAGGGCCAGGGTGGGTGGGGAGAGGGGTGGCTTGCAAAGGGGGCTCCTTGACCAGTCCATCCTTGATCTTTGGTCCCCACCTCCTCACAGCGCTGCAGTTCACAAACACTCTGCTCTGTGAATCCTCGCCAGCACCCTGGAGGTGGGTGGGCAGGTGTGGGCGGCCCCATTTTATATATGGGGACCTACGACACCTTATGTCTGAGCCTCGAGTCCCCATCTGGAAAGTGGGCAAAATGGACCCTCTCCCAAGGTTGTAGTGAGGACTGAGGGAGAGGCAGGGCAGGGCACGGCCGGCTGCTGCTCCGGAGATGGAGCGCCGCTCCTCGTAAGTGGAGCCGGGATTGGATCTCAGGCCTCTGGCCTCCAAGCCTGATACGGTGACCGTTCTACCATCCTGCCTGGCTTATGAGAGAAAAGAAAGAGAAGGAGCTCCTTTAACCCGCCCGCTGGAGCTGGGGATCCAGTGCAGGTTCTCCTGATCCCCAGGGGACCTCTGCTTCCTCCTCTGTGAAGGATGAAAGAGCTGTCCCTGCCCGGCCCCAGCCCTTCCATCCCCGGAAGTGGGAATATCAGCAGTCTGAGGGTGTGGAGATGAGCTGGGGAGCCAGCTGAGGAAGTCATTGACAAGCATCTGGCAGTACCAGTGTTTGCAAGAGGACCTGCCGCTCTGCCCTCAGGGGCATGCAGTCCAGCTGCAGCTGGGAGGGAGGGGACCTGCAGTCATCACCTGCTGGGCACCGAGTGGGGGGTGTGAGCTCCACCCACCTTTGGAGCAAACTGGGAGTGTCTGAGGGGGTGTCCTGTCTACTCCACCACACTGTCTTGCGCCCACACAGATGGCGACACCTACCACAAGCAGGAGGAGGACGGACCAGTGAGTGTGGCCGGGAGGGCTGTAAGGCACTAGCACAGGGAGGGGGGAAGCAGGGGGTTTTCCGAGGAGCAGCTTAACTGAGTCTTCTTCCAGCAAGTGCAGGTGAGAGCCTGCCATGTGCTGCACACAAGCTCTACGTTAGACCCTGGGGGGGCAGCTGCAGGAGTCACAGAGGAGCTGGAGACCTAGATGCCAGGCCAAGGAGTCAGCTGCCAGCAGGGACCCCTGGGTGGAGGGCAGAGGGGTGGTGTTTCGGACAGCTTGGCCAGAGAGTGGAAGGTGGGGTGGAGTGGTGCAGGCTTGGCGAGACTGATGCAGGCAGGCCAGTGGGGAGGTCTGCAGGGGCAGGAGCTGGACCAGGGCTGGGCAGTGAGGGAGGGAAGTAGATGTGTGCAGGGGTCACCAGCAGAGCGGGGAGAATCTGAGGGCATCTCAGGGTTCCCTAATGCTGGCTGAGTCCCAGGGGTGCGTTCTCTGTGACTGTCCAGGCAGCCCATGTATATTAATCGTTTACTTAGTGCCAGCCACCAGGGTTTCAGGGCTAGAGACGCCACCCTGTGCAGGCCTGGCTGAACAGAGCTGCTCTGGCTTTTAGGCTGTGCTGTCCTCACATCCCCCACTTCCACACCTACCCTGGGGCTTCCAACTGAAAGAGCAGTTGTCTATCTGGCCCCCTTGCCCTGGTCCGAATTCCTCTCTGCCATTCCCTCCAGGGGCCTTCCAGTTTCTGCTTATGTCATTTCGAAGTGACAGAGGCTCATTACCTCCCAGGCCACCCTTCCAGCCCCATGACGAAGGGCCCACACAGGGTCTGCCCTTTCCCTGGCTGTGGAGCCTGTGTGCCCAGAGACACTTCCTGGGTGCTGAAGGACAGAGCCTTAGTCAGGGGGCAGGGTTCTCTGCTGCACTCAGTGGGCAATAGAGCTGCCCCAGTCAGCCCTGTCTGTATACTGCCTGGGCCTACAGAAGCCCCCCTGATGAGGTGTGGGGCTGAGCATGTAGCTGTGGGCCATCCATTCATGGAGATTTTCAGAGGACCCCACCCCCACCCCCATCTGGTCATCAGGCACCCTGAGTGTGGCGCTGGCCCTTTAAAGCAGATCAGGAGCTGGCTTTGGGGGGTAAACCGCCCAGATTTCTGCGATCTGCTTACAAGCCTGGGCCAGGGAGGGGGGCCACTCCAGCCCCCGACAGGGGCATTGGAAGGGCAGGTAGAGCTGGTAGCATTGATTGCAGTAACCTGATCCCTCCGGGGAGGCGGCAGCGACAGCGGGCATCGGCCTCACAGGGGGAGGAAGCTGCCTGCAGCTGAGGGCTGGGCCAGGAAGAGCTGGGCTGGGGCCTGGGTCGGCAGCCGCTGCCTCCTCTCCCGGCCCATGTATTTTTAATGAGCTCTCCAGGCTTCTGCAGCCGGCAGCATGCGGAAAGGCAGGCCCAGGCCTGTGGCCCCAGCCCTGCCCTGAGCCCTGGCCCCCCAACCCTTCTGGGCATGAGAGGGCGGTCCTGGGGCCCCGAAGCCCCCTGGCCGGGCAGGGCTCTCCATGCAGCTCTTCCTGAAGATGGATTCGAGCCCAGACAATGACAGCTGGTTGGAGGATCAGTGGGAGCACTGGTAGGGGAGTGGGAGCCGGGGGGAGGGGGAAGTTTGGGGGGGCAGCTGCATTGAGCTCTGAGTCTCTGTTTGGGGCTGACTGAGGTGAGAGGCAGAGGGCTTGGGCCTCCTAGGCTCCCCTGGGGGCTGGGCCACCCCCTCTCCTGGGTGACCTTGGACTGTGGGTCTCTCGCTCTAAGCCTCAGTCCCTTGGTCTCATTTGGGAAAAGGCTCAGAATTGTTCCCAACTTTCCCCACAGAATTCTCCAAAATGTCCCACTCCCACCAAACCTGGTGGAGCCTAGGGCTGGGGCAGGTGGGGACCGCAGTGGGCGGGCGCACAGGGCTGGCCTGGGGCAGAGGGTTCTAGTGCAGCTGGTTAGTTCCCGGTGCTGGGGTGTGCTGCCTCTTGTGTTCACCATCCCTCCAGCCCCAGTTCCTGACCCCATCTGTGCAGCCTGTTCAGGGTCCATATCTGGGCAAAGTGATTTTGTGGTTGAAGAGATGAGACCAAGAACATAGACTAGCGGCCTAGTCTGTCCTGGAACGGGTGGAAACGACCCACAGTGACACCACATTTCCCTTCCTTGCTCTGTGGCTCAAGCAGCGTGCGACTTCCTGGGCTGGGGGAATGGCGCACTCCTCTGGGACCTGGACGGCTCTGCCAGCGCCTGGGGTGTTGTTGCTGCAGGGATTGGACAGGGAGCCCCGACTCAGGGCATCCCTGGGAGTCCCTTCTCCACTCTTCGCATTCTCCATGGGTGAACTGGCCTTGGCACCTACCTTGACCCTGGGAGGCATTTCTCTGGCAGAGCTGAGGCTCCGAGCAGCTGGGCCTTCCAGGCACTGCCTCTAGTTTGGCAACAGGATGGACAGCTCCCAGCCGGGGGGAGCAGGGGTGACCTGGAGCCTCCCCTTCCACTGCCACCCCAGGAAGACTGCCTTTGGCATGAGCCCACAACTCTTCCCCTGCCTGGTGGTTACCCCTTGCATTGGCACCGGTGGACTCCATGTCCCATCCTCTGGGGGCTGTGATCTGCCTTCGAGGGGCTGCCCCTTGGAGGACGTACTAGGGAGACATCAGTGGGCTGAGCAGTCCCCCTGGGTTGTAACTTTGGCTTCCTGTCCCCACCAGGCTCACCCATGATATCAGCCTGGAGGAGTTTGAGGATGAAGACCTCTCAGAGATCACCGATGAGTGTGGCATCAGTCTGCAGTGCAAAGACACCCTGTCCTTACGGGTAAGGGTGGGCTCCCAGAAGCCCAAATGGAGTGGCAGGATGGGTAGGGACAGGGTTGAGGGCACCCCCACATCTACGAAGGGGCTTTCAGGGTCTCTGGCACCCTCATTAATGAAAGAGCATCACAGGAAACATCCAGTACAATGCTTGGCACATCTTGAGCCTCCATCCGAATTTTTGTTTTCTTTTTGGCCAGGAGTTAAGGCAGGAGGTAGCTCCTTCAGCTGCCCACAAGAAGGGAGAGGGCAGGAGGTCTTGAGGTCTAGGACAGTAACAGTGAGGGCCTTAGTTCAGGGAAAGCTCAGAAAGACCCTAAATCCTGTCGGGAGTGGCCTTGGCAGAGGGCCTGAGGCAGAGCAGGGTGGAGTCTGAGTGCTCTGCAGTGCTCTGGGGCAGGAGGAAGGAGGCAAGCACTCCCTCTGCTGCCCTTGCACCAAACCACACCACGTGGCCTCGCAGACCCTCTCCGGCCCACAGTCCTAAAGGCCCCTTTGGAGGGTTCACCCAGCTTTGCTACTGCTTTTGACCCCGTGGCTTTGTCATAGGACAGATGGCTCTCTCTGTCCTTAAAGTTTTGAATCCCGCCAGGAGGCCCTCAGCACCTGGGGCACCGGGATCAGATGGAGATCTGTATCTTTTCAGAATAGAAAGAAGGAGCCACTAGTCAGGAAATGGAAGGCAAAGGATGGGGCTGGTTGCAGAGTCCAGAGCTTCTCGCTGCCGCCAGGAGGATGGCTGACCAAAGCAGATATGGTGCTAGGAGAGCAGTTAGCAAAGGAGAGCTGGGATGGGGTTCCTGTCTCTGTGTTGACCTCCTGTTGTCCCAAGAGATTCTGTAAGCCTGCCAGGGAGGAAGAAACCAAGTGGGTGGGGGAGGATGACCCTCAAGTACCTGCACCCCAACCCTCCACCCTCTGGCCAGGCGAGGAAGGGATGGAGGCAGAGGTCACTTCTTCTGGGCTTGGGGAATGGTCCCAGGGCGCTGACATAGTTTCTCTAAGGCCATACACCTATTCTCTTCCCGCAATGCCCTCTCCCCCAACATGCACAGGCAGAGCCTTGCAGAGGGTGGTCCTGCAACCAGCTAGCACCCTAAGGCCCTGGGGTACACCCTGTGGAGCCTTAGAAAGCTCCAAAGGGCTTTCACACCTCTCTGGGAATCTGGGAGGCAGTTTAACTGGTGAGGGTTCTGGAGGGTCAGGAAATCTGCCCCAGGTGCCAGGGAGTTAGTGGTAGAGCTGGAACTGGAAAAGCTGTTCGGAACTCTCAAGGTTAGACTGGCCGAGGGGAAATCTCAGGTTGGAGAGGCCAAGGCCTGTGGACGGCAGGGCGGGGTCTGCCCCTGCCAGGCGGAGGCCGCACTTGCCCCTCCCTTGCAGCATCCCTCTTGCAGCCGCGCTCACATCCTCCGGTATGCACTGCGGCCCTTCCCTTCCGCAGCCCCTCGCCTAGCTGAGACTATTTTCCCCATTTTCCCCACTGCCCTCTCCAAATACTAACCCCCAGCCGATCCCTTACGGGGCGCGAACTCCTAGGCGACCCTTCCTCCCCATGGCAACAGCGGTGACCTCACTCTGGGCTCCGCTTACTAGCCGGGTGAGGTCACGGGCTGTTGCCAAGGGAACGGGAGGGTGCATAGAGTCAGGAGGCGGGGGGCCGTGGGGAGGGGAGAGGTGTGGACCGTCAGAGGCTTCGCTGGAGTGGGGAGGAAGCGGCCTCACGCATCCTGGCGGGTGGCGGGAGGGCGCGGCCCCCTCTCCCCGAGCTCCTGCCCCGCTCCCTCTCTCCCCCTCTTTGCGGCCGCGGAATGGACTCGCCGGGGCGGGGGGCGGGGCACGGCGGCCTCGGCCCCGCCCCAGCCCCGGCCGGGCCCCGCCCCCTGACACCCCTCGGTCTGCACCGCGCAGCCCCCGCGTGCCGGGCTGCTGTCGGGGGGCGGCGGCTGCGCGGGGAGCCGGCTGCAGGCCGAGATGCTGCAGATGGACCTGATCGACGCGGCGGGGGACACTCCCGGCGCCGAGGACGACGAGGAGGAGGACGAGGAGGAGCGCGCGGCGCGGCGTCCGGGAGCGGGACCGCCCGAAGCCGAGCCTCGCCAGGAGCCGGCGCCCCGCAGCCAGGGCCAGGGCGGCGGGGACACGTACCGACCCAAGCGGCCCACCACGCTCAACCTCTTCCCGCAGGTGCCGCGGTCTCAGGTGGGGCGCGAGCGGCGTGGGGCGGGGCTGAAGGGGCGGCTCCGGGGTCAGGCCCCGGGAGGTGGGCGCGCGAGGAGGTGCGGAGCGGGAACTTGCGGGTCTGGCGCGGGGAGAGGTCTCCGGCCGGTGAGATCTTCCAGGGCTTCCCAGGGGGCAGGTCCCTGGGCAAGTGGTCTCGGGGGCAGGGAAGATCTTTCGTAAGGAGGGGAGGCGCGAAGGCCCCGAGATCTGAGCAAGGAGAGGAGCGGGGCATTAAGAGAACTGGCTTGAGGGGTTGCAAGGGTTTGGAGCCTGGGACCTCAGGCTGCGGCAGGGTTTCCTGCTTAGGGTATGGGGTCCCTGGTAAGGTGGACAAGAAGCAGGGCCTGGAGAAAAGGGCATACGAAGCGGCCGGTGTGGTGGGAGGTCATGGGGAATTGTAAGAGTTGGGGATGGGGAGCTCAGAGGCAGCAGCCAGTGTGCATGTGGGCAGCTGGGAATTCCCAGAAGGCAGGAGGCGAGATGGGAGGTGGAGCTGCTCGGCTGAGTTGGGGGCCTAGGGCCCCAGGGCTGGGTGGCTGGATGCCAAGGAGGGTTGGATAGGGTGGGGGAGAGTGGCTGTGGCCCTTTGTCTCCCAGGCCCAGTGAGGAGGGGTCTGGAGGAGCTCAGGGAGGTGGGCTGTTGGTGGAGAGTGCAGGGGCTGCTGGGAGAGGATTGGTTCCTTTCCCAGGATCCTCAGGGGTGGATTTTGGCAGCCAAATTCATGAATGTGAGGGCCTGTGAGGGTGTTCCCAGGGAAGGGGGCCTGAGTTGCGTGTAGGGAGCCTTGTACGCAGGCATCGTGGAGAGGGTTCCTGGGGGCTGAGGATGTGGCATGGGCAGCCCAGCAGATCCAGCAAGAAGGGCCTCTGACAACCACATCAGTCATTCCTCAGTCATGTGCTCCTGGGGGGGGGGGGGGCTGAGGGAACCGCGTTGTGGAGTCGTCATGTGGATGATTCAGCCCCAGCCCCCAGGCCAGCTGCCGGGAGACCCTTCCTCGTGCTCTTCTCAGGCTCTGCAGCTGCCTCTGCCCCTTCCCTAGGCCATAGCTTCCTGAGCTTCAGGGACTTGGGTTGGACGTGAGAGTCTTCGTGTTACCTAATCCTCAGTGTCTGGATCTAGGGGGCTGACTCTGTGCCCAGATGGCTCCTGCTTCTCCCCACCTCCTCCCCCACTCACCGGCACACACATTGGCCATCACCTCTTTTATGGAGGCTGATAAGAGCGGCTCCCTAAGGCAGCGGTTCTCAACCTGTGGGTCGCAGCCCCTTTGGCGGTCGAACGACCCTTTCACAGGGGTCGCCTAAGGCCATCCTGCATATCAGATATTTACATTACAAAAAAAGATATTTACATTACGATTCATAACAGTAGCAACATTACAGTTATGAAGTAGCAACGAAAATAATTTTATGGTTGGGTTACAACATGAGGAACTGTATTTAAAGGGCCAGAAGGTTGAGAACCACTGCACTAAGGCTTGGCCAGCTTCCCTGAGCCAGGAGGAAGGGCTGGCTAGAGCCAGTAGGCCTGGCTGGGTGGGCTGGGACTTGCCACCTATCCTGCCTGCTCCAGAGAGGGTTTGGGTGAGGCCTGGACAAGTGGGGGGGGGGGGGGTAGGGTGCAGCAAAGGGCCTAGGGATGGCCTGCTGGGGGAGGGCCAGGGCCTTCTGTGCCGGGCACTGTTGACTGCTTCTGTCACAAGGGCCTTTTGTTTCCTGCACAGGACACGCTGAATAATAATTCTCTGGGCAAGAAGCACAGTTGGCAGGATCGGGTGTCTCGGTCATCCTCACCCCTGAAGACAGGTAAGTCAGTACCCTTACCTGGACTCCTACCTGCCCTCACCCAGTCCCCGTGCAGAAAGCAAACCCAGTAGTCTCCAGCTTGTGAGTAGAGGTAAACTGCCTATCCCACAGCTGCGAGTGGGTCCATCTGAGGTCAGTTGTGGCACGAGTGAGGGCTGGCTCCAGAGCCAGCCCTGCCTGCTTCTGCGTGGCATGCTGAGTAAAAGTGCTGAATGTGGGGAGCAGGTAGCCTGGGAACCAAGGGGGAGGGCACTTGCCTTCAGCTCTGACCTGCCTGCTCTGCAGGGGAGCAGACACCTGCCCACGAACACATCTGCCTGAGCGATGAGCTGCCGCCCCAGAGCAGCCCCGCCCCCACTACAGACCGAGGCACCTCCACCGACAGCCCTTGCCGCCGCAGTGCTGCCACCCAGATGGCGCCTCCCAGTGTCCCTCAGGCTGCCCCACCTGGTGGCCGGGGCCACTCGCATCGAGACCGCATCCACTACCAGGCAGATGTGAGGCTGGAGGCCACTGAGGAGATCTACCTGACACCAGTGCAGAGGCCCCCAGACCCTGCAGAGCCCACCTCTGCCTTCCTGCCGCCAGCTGAGAGCCGGATGTCGGTCAGCTCCGATCCAGACCCTGCTGCCTACCCCTCAACAGCAGGGCGGCCGCACCCCTCCATCAGTGAGGAGGATGAGGGCTTCGACTGCTTGTCCTCCCCGGAGCGGGCCGAGCCACTAGGTGGAGGGTGGCGGGGGAGCCTGGGGGAGCCGCCACCGCCTCCACGGGCCTCTCTGAGCTCGGACACCAGTGCGCTGTCCTACGACTCGGTCAAGTACACGCTGGTGGTGGATGAGCACGCACAGCTGGAGCTGGTGAGCCTGCGGCCGTGCTTCGGAGACTACAGTGACGAGAGTGACTCGGCCACTGTCTATGACAACTGCGCCTCTGCCTCCTCGCCCTACGAGTCGGCCATTGGGGAAGAATATGAGGAGGCGCCCCGGCCGAGGCCCTCTGCCTGCCTCTCCGAGGACTCCACCCCCGACGAACCCGACGTCCACTTCTCCAAGAAGTTCCTGAACGTCTTCATGAGTGGCCGCTCTCGCTCCTCCAGTGAGTCTGCAGCGGGAGCTGTTGGGGGGATCTGGGTGGGAAGAGCTGAAACGAGGGTGTTCCTGGGAGGAGGCCTCAGGCCCATCCAGTTCAAGGCATTAGGACTGAGAGCTCTTCACCTGCCCCTCAAAACTCGACCAGAGCTGGGACCTTCCTCCTCCAGCCAGACCCTTTCATCCGCAGGTGCGGAATCCTTTGGGCTCTTCTCCTGTGTCATCAACGGGGAGGAGCAGGAGCAGACCCATCGGGCCATCTTCAGGTGAGAGCACAGAGCTGGGCTGGCCTCCCTGCCTCTGCCATCACCACAGGGCCTAAACCAGCGGTTCTCAACCTGTGGGTCGCGACCCTTTTGGGGGTCGAACAACCCTTTCACAGGGGTCGCCTAAGACCATCGGAAAACACGTATGTAATTACATATTGTTTTTGTGATTCATCACTATGCTTTAATTATGTTCAATTTGTAACAATGAAATTGGGGGTCACCACAACATGAGGAACTGTATTAAAGGGTCGCGGCATTAGGAAGGTTGAGAACCATTGGCCTAAACCCAACCCCGCCACTGGCATTGATCCGTCCTCTCAGCCCCAGGGGACAGTCTACCCTCTCGAAACTGTGAGCAGGGTGCTGGAGCGGATGCTCCAGTGTCGTGTGGCCTTTGCTGCGCTGCCAGAGCACAGGAGGGAGCACCCGATGTGCACGGGACCAGAGCCCAGGAGCGCCCAGCACCCGATACCTGATCCCGCAGCAAACCCACACCCTCCCTCCCCTCCACATGGAAGTGCTTGCTTCCCATCGCCTCTCACATGTTATCAGTGACTCCGGTCACTGCCTCCCGTGGCCGTGAGTTCCTCCATGGCCGATGCGTATCTGATTGACTTTGGTTTCCCCCAGGAGCTAGCATTGACAGGCTCACAGATGCTTTGCAAATGTTTATTGAACTAATGATGCCGGTGCAGCTCCCAGACGCCAGAGCAGGGTGGGGAGTCGATGGAAGGCCTGGCTGGAGAGGCCCCGCGGTGAAGTCCTCACGTGCTTTCTTTGAGAACAGGTTTGTGCCTCGACATGAAGATGAACTTGAGCTGGAAGTGGACGACCCCCTGCTGGTGGAGCTACAGGCTGAGGACTACTGGTACGAGGCCTACAACATGCGCACGGGGGCCCGGGGCATCTTTCCTGCCTACTACGCCATCGAGGTCGCCAAGGAGCCTGAGCAGATGGCAGGTAGTGTTCCAGTGTTCCTTTCCCCCTGCTGATGCCACCGGGCCACACATCTCCCCTGCCCTGACTTGCTGCCAGGGGAGCCTATGCTTCAGACCTCAACACCCGGGGCGGGGCCGAGCAGAGGTGCCTTTGGGTCAGTTTCACAATTGACTAAAGTGAGCCCAGCCAGTTTGGGACCCATGTGGATGGTGGCACCCTCTGCTGGCTCTGCCGTGCCTCACTTTCATGCTTGCTTTCCCAGCCCTGACCAAAAACAGCGACTGGGTGGACCAGTTTCGGGTGAAGTTCCTGGGCTCTGTCCAGGTTCCCTACCACAAGGGCAATGACGTCCTCTGTGCCGCTATGCAAAAGGTACCTGCTTCCTGCTCCCCTGAAGCGGGTGCCCACCCCCAATCCTCTCCTGGGAGAGGGACACCCCCGCCTGATGTTCCTGTCCCTCACCACAGATCGCCACCACCCGCCGGCTCACCGTGCACTTTAACCCACCCTCCAGCTGCGTCCTAGAGATCAGCGTGAGGGGTGTGAAGATAGGCGTCAAGGCTGATGACTCCCAGGAGGCCAAGGTGACCCCCTGGCCCCATCCCGGCTCTCCCACCGGGTCTCCCTCCTCTGCCCCCTGCAGGCTGATAACCACGCTGTTCTACTCTTTCTCCTGTAGGGGAATAAATGTAGCCACTTTTTCCAGTTAAAAAACATCTCTTTCTGTGGATACCATCCGAAGAACAACAAGTAAGTGGGGAGGAGCAGAGGCCGAGGTGTGGGCTGGGTCTGGAGCCATTATGGCAGGACATGGGGCCACGAATGTGCCTGGAGGGGTCTGAGCCCCCATCCTACCCAGACAGACTGCTGTCCTCCCACAGGTACTTCGGGTTTATCACTAAGCACCCTGCTGACCACCGGTTTGCCTGCCACGTCTTTGTGTCTGAAGAATCCACCAAAGTCTTGGCGGAATCTGTGGGGTACGTATGTGTGTGTCCCTCCAAGCGCCGGGCCCGCCAGCCGGCCCAGGCTCAAGCCCTCAAGCACAATCTTTGTGCTCAGCCTCACCCTCAGCCCCCCCAGCTCTGCACACGCCTCCAGGTCACAGTGCAGGGACCTCGAGAGAGGCCTGCGTGGTCTTGAGGAGTAGCTTCCACGCGTTTTAGCTGTTAGATCCTTTCGCCAATTGCAGTCTCATTTAGGAAACAGTTTGTAGAGAACAGAGCTGAGCAGCCAGGGGGCTGGAGCCCACCCGGGGACCCTGAGGCTCCAGTTCCCCCGTCAGCGTGTCTCTCCTGCCTCCTAGGAGAGCGTTCCAGCAGTTCTACAAGCAGTTTGTGGAGTACACCTGCCCCACAGAAGACATCTACCTGGAGTAGCAGCGCTGCCTGCCCTCTGCCTCCCCGGGCCCGCAGGCCAGGGCCAGGACAGCTGGCTGCTGACAGGACGTGGCACTGCTTGAGGAGGGGCACCCACCACCACCAGAGGGTGGGGAAGTGGAGGCCATCGGCCGAGGGTGGGAGGGTGGGGGTTATGGGGAGAGGCAAATGCAGTTTATTGTAATATAAGGGGTTAGATTCATCTATGGAGGACAGAGCAGGCTGCCCGGGGATTGGGTGGGGGCAGGGCTGGTCAGGCCTGTGGCCAGGAAGGATGCCCATCCAGGAGCAGAGGGTTCTGTCCCATCTTGGGCCACACTTCCCCTGCCAGGGCCTCTGGCTCTCTTCTGCCTTGATGAAGCCCATGCCACCTGCAAGTGCCCAACCTGCCCCCAATTCCCAACCCCAACCAAAGGCCCTGAGCTCAGGCTGAGACCAGCACCTCCTAAGGACTTTCCAGTAAGGGAACAGCAGCAGGTGGAGGTGCATCCCTGTCCCCAGCTGTCACTTGTGTGGCCTCTGGCTGGCTCCACCTCCAGCCTCGCTGGCATGCTGGCCCCCGCAGTTGTGGGGCCCCTCAAGGAAGGAGAGAGCCGCAGCAGGGCCCCACCCTGGCAGGAAAAGGCGGCTTCCCACTGGCCCGGGCCAGCCCGGCCTCTTGGCTGCTTTGGCTGTAGCCCCATCTTGGTCCTGTCACCCTGGCCACAACTATTAAAGTGCCATTTCCTGTCTGGACTGCAGTGGGTGTATCTACGTGGGCCCTTCCCATGCTCAGCTCATTCCCATCCCAGGAAAGCCCGAGCTTGGCTTTACTGCACAGAATAGCTTTATAAGTGATTCCCATCACAGGTGTGTGTCGAAGTAATACTCAGCCATGTCTGGTCCGTCCCGCTTGCGCTGCTGGGCCCGGGAGAGAAGGGGTCGAGGCCCTCGTCGCCTTGGGTGCTTGGGTTGGATCCCATAGTCTAAAGAGAGACAAGAGGCTATGGGTGGAGGGAGACTGGTTTTGAATCTGCTGAAGTCGCCCCTGAAAGGTGCTGTTTGAGATAAGACAACCCTGAGGCTGGACCTGGATGGCCTCCCCTAGGGCATGTTTCCTCAGAGGAGGGGAGGCAGGGAAGGGGAGGGATGCGGGATCCTACCATCCAACAGGCCAGACAGAGGCTGTGAGAGTTCCAAGGGGGCTGAAAAATCCTCAGGAACGGATCGCTGAGGCCTGTGGGAGATGGTGGGTGCTCAACGCTGGCCCCAAAGGCCACTGCCACCTCCCCGTGAAGCAGGGAGTGGTCCAGGATGGCATCAGCCTCTCCTCTGCCATGCTGCTCCCTACCTTCCAGGTCCCAGGCCCTGCTGAGCCCTGGCCCTGTGCTCCTGGGAGTTACCTCGGCGGCTGGGGGTGGAGGAGTGCAGCTGCCAGGAGGAGGGAGAGGAGGCAGAGGCTCAGCGGGGCCCTGGAGAACAGAGCCATCTGCGCAGGTCCCGATCTGGCTTCTGCTGCCCCTCCCCCAGCAGGACGGAACCGCTGCCAACTTCCAGGGCCACCTCACAAAGGGCATTAGTTCCAGGGCTGAGCGTCAGCACCAGCCCCTGACTAGGCCAGAAACCTCCACAATGAGGTTTCTCGTTGGATTTTACTGACGATGTAGGTCAGCAGGTGCCAAATCACATCTGTTCTAGTGCCACTGCCCAAGGTGGGCATAGACCTTTGGAGTCAGCTCTCAGTTCAAATCCCTACCTTGCCTCTTGCTAGGTGGACACGTCACTAATCTCTGTGGGCCTGTTTCCTCATCTGTGAGGTAAGGCACATAATGTCTCCAAGGTCTGGCACACAGTAGGCCATCAGCAAAAGTCAGTCACTGAATCCTCATCCCCCAGAGCCCCACCCACTCCCAGTCAGCCTCCTGCTACCACCACCGGCCACCTCCACCGTCTCTCCCTCCAACAGCTCAGTCGTTCCAGGAAGGTCCTGCCGGCCGGAGAGCCCAGAGCGGTCACTCAGCTTGGCCAGCTCCGAGATCCCACTGGGGGAAGCATTCTGAGGAACTTCCCACTTAGCTCCCCATAGCGTTGACCAGCCTGGCTCAGGGCCTCCACATGCCCTGCCATCACCCCAGAGCCTGGGCAGAAGGCAAGTTTGGCGGCAAAGGCTGGGACCTGTTCCTCAAGTATAAGTTTCCAGAGGGACTATGGGATCTCCAGTACTTGACATCTAGTGGGTGCTCAATAAAGATTTGTTGAGTGAATAAATGCAATGAGACAGTGTCCTGGAGAATCTTAACAGCCTGTGGCTGAGTAGGGGACCCTGTCTTTGGTTCCTGTTGGCTCTTAATGTGGGGCTGACCTGGCTCACTGCAGAAGCTCAACCCAAATGATGCTGGGTTGAACCACAAAGTCTGGGCCCCATCCAGACCTGTGGGATCAGAATCTGAGGCTGAGCTGGGGGTCTGCACTTGGGAAACTCCGTTGCTTCTAAGACAGCAGATCTGCTGGCAGGTCCAACCCCTTCCTTCAACTGCTGAGGTGCCTCAGGCCCAGAGAGGTTTCCCAACCTGGCTCCTGGTCCAGCCCCCGAGTCCAAGCAGCTCTGGAGTCTGCAGTATACCTGCTCCCTGTTCTTGGAGCACACCCCCTGGCTTCTCACTGACCACCTCCACCCTTGTGTGTCCTGAACACCACAGTCTGCTTCTGTATCCCACCTCTGCTGGGAACTATGAGCTCCCTGATGCTCTAACTCCAAACCCCTCGACCTTCACTCGTCTTGCCCCCAAGTTGCCACCTCTTCCTCTCTACAACCAGTTCCAAGGCCTGCCTGGGCCACTCCTAAGCCTATCGCCCTGCCATGGCCGTAATTCAGCCCCATCCACTGTTCTAGGTCTCCACCAGCAACGTCACTGCCCCCATCCTCTGTCTGTGCCCAGCAGCCCACCCTGCACCAAGCAGCTTCCCCACTGCCTGCGAGGCAGCTCCATTTCTCACCTGGTACCTGATGGCCTGTTGGATTTGGCCCTGACCTTCTCTAGCCTCATCCCCTCTGTTCCCACCCTCTACTTCCCTCTGCCCCAGCATTGGCTTCACGCCACTGCCACACTACACATGCTGCTTTCTGCACACAGGGCCTCTTCCCCGAGTCTGTCATCAAAAAACAGATGGAGCTTTACCAGTTTAACAGCCTGCTTGAACGAAGGCTTCCCTGACCAGTGAGCCTTCCGGGTCGTCAGCCTGAGCCGGAACACACCCTGAGGCTAGACTACTTTTCACACACACTTGCACTCGCTGCAGCGACCCGCGCACTGCATGCATTTACATGCGTCTCCTCCACCGATTGCTGGGAGCTGGGGCAAGAACTGTGCTGTACTCATTTCTGAGCAAATTGCACAAAGCAGAGCCTGCTACAGAGCAAGTGCCCAGCAATCCTTGGTAGACACAGGGAAAGTTGTGGGCCTCAAGCTGTGACAGGGTCTGGGGTTGGTGGCTTCTGAGGCACTGGAGAAAGCAGTCCAGAACAAAATGCTGGACCAAGAAACCAAGATGGCGGCATAGGTAAACACCAGAGATTGCTGCCTCGCACAACCACTTCAAAAATACAACTAAAAGACGGAATGGACATCATCCAGAACCACAGGAAGGCTGGCTGAGTGGAAACTCTACAACTAGAAGGAAAGAGAAAAGCATACTGAGACTCAGAGGAGGTGTGATGTGGAAGTAAAATATAGAGGTACAGAGGTGCATGTGGAGAGGGTTGGCGGCTGAGGACACGGTTGTCTTTTTCAATCGGGAGGGAGTTTCAAGCTCTGAGCTCCAGTTCCAGGCGAGTCTCTGGGGACCCAGACTCATACGAGAGAAACTGGACTGTCTGGCATCAGTTGGAACTCGAGGGCAGCTTTCTCTCGGGGGTGCTTGCAGCGATTGCCAGGACACTGAGAAGCAGGGCCTCTGAGGGCAGGACTGAGAGCAGCCATAACTGCTTGCTCCGCCCTGTTGATCCCCTGGGACCCTGCCCTGCCCAAGCCACTGAGGCTTTTGCATATGAAAGGCCTGGCCCTTTGCAATCTGATAATTACCTAACAAACTGCAGCTGACCCAAGGCCCCAGGGCAACTTGCATTGCATCACAGCTGGCTCCTGCTGGGTAGCCTCAGGCAGAGGCTAGATTAGCACCTCCTTAGAGATCCAGGAGCCAGTGTGCCCGGAGGTCAGAGTGGGACCATCCAGATTGCAGCTCCTCGGATTCATAAAGGACACACTCAGGGGGCAGACTCTGTGAGCACCAAAGCCCCATTGAAGCAAGTCTTACCCCAGAGGGGTGTCTCCAGCACAGTTCTCCCATTGCAGACACAGCTGATTCTCACCGCCAATTGGCCTGGAGGTCAATCCCTCCCAGTGATACCTACAACAATCAAGGCTTAACTACAACAAGACTGCGCACAAAGACCACAAGGGGGTGCACCAAGAGTGTCTACCTCAGGTAATTGGGGAGGCTGAGGCACTGGGCCCTATAGGACACCTAGTACAGAAAGCCACTCTATTGACACAGCGAAGCATAAAAAAATGCAGAGACAAAGAAACAGGACACAAATGACAGAAATGGAGGAAAGCAAACTACTGGATATAGAATTCAAAACCACACTTTTAAGGTTTTTCAAGAATTTTCTAGAAACCCTCAAGGTTGTGATAAAGGACCAACTAGAAATTAAGCATACGCTGACTGAAATAAATATTATACAGACTCCCAACAGCAGACCAGAGGATTGCAAGAATCAAGTCAACGATTTGAAATACGAAGAAGCAAAAAACACCCAACTGGAAAAGCAAAATGAAAAAAAAGAATCCAAAAATACGAAGATAGTGTAAGGAGCCTCTGGGACAGCTTCAAGGTACCAACATCCGAATTATAGGGGTGCCAGAAGAAGAGAGCGAGCAAGATATTGAAAACCTATTTGAAGAAATAATGACAGAAAACTTCCCCTACCTGGTGAAAGAAATAGAATTACAAGTCCAGGAAGCGCAGAGAACCCCAAACAAAAGGAATCCAAAGAGGACCACACCAAGACACATCATAATTAAAATGCCAAGAGCAAAAGACAAAGAGAGAATCTTAAAAGCAGCAAGAGAAAGACAGTCAGTTACCTACAAGGGAATACCCATACGACTGTCAGCTGATTTCTCAACAGAAACTATGCAGGCCAGAAGGGAGTGGCAAGAAATATTCAAAGTGATGAATACCAAGAACCTACAACCAAGATTACTTTATCCAGCAAAGCTATCATTCAGAATTGAAGGTCAGATAAAGAGCTTCACAGATAAGAAAAAGCTAAAGGAGTTCATCACCACCAAACCAGTATTATATGAAATGCTGAAAGGTATCCTTTAAGAAGAGGAAGAAGAAAATGATAAAGATACAAACTATGAACAACAAATACACATCTATCAACAAGTAAATCTAAAAATCGAGTGAATAAATAATCTGATGAAGAGAATAAACTGGTGATTATAATAGAATCAGGGGCATAGAAAGGGAGTGGACTGACTATTCTTGGGGGGGAAAGGGGTGTGGGGGATGCAGGAAGAGACTGAACAAAAATGGTGCACCTATGGATGAGGACAGTGGAGGGGGTGAGGGCAGAGGGGGGGTGGAAAACGGGTGGAGGGGAGCTATGGGGGGAAAAAGAGGAACAACTGTAATCTGAACAATAAAGATTTAATTTTTAAAAAAGAAAAAGAAAAAAAAGCAGTCCAGGAAAGGCTGGCCCCTCGGCTGGGGGCGGGGGGGGGGGGGGGGGGGGGCGGGGCGGTTCACCTGGGAGTCTAGGAGGTAACGCACGACAGATACCAAGGCAGACCGAGTTCTCCGAACCTAAGGGACCACCATCTGGCTAGAAACCAGCAGCACAGTGCGGTCTGTTTACAGGGAAAAGGGGGCAGGGCAGGGGGGCAGGAAAGGGGAAGACCAGGCAGAACCTACACCCAGCTCCCCCCAGAGCTGCTCAGGCTGCTGTTCTTTCCAGCCCAGCGTCAATCCCAGTGCTGGCTGGTGCCTGGCATTCTTTTCCCAAAGAAGAAAAGCCTTTTGCTCTCGACTAGGAGTTCAGGGCTTGCGGTGCCACACTGCACTGCGCTGGGCCACCACTCCCCAGGCTCCCTCACAGAGGCTGGCGAGCAGCAGGGCCCTGCAGGGGGAAGGGGCAGACAGTGGCTCTGGCCGGAAGACAGGCAGGCAGCTGTCATCACTGCCTGGGTTCAGCCTTGTCACCAGGGACCAGTGAGACAGGCAGTTTACTCCCGCAGCTGCCATGACAAGCAGCTCCCCGTGCTCGAGGTTCAATGCCAGCTTTCTGTGGCTGAGGAACCTGGGTCCCAGTCCTAGCAGAGGCTGCTTGGTCCAGCGACGAGGTACAGCGGCAGCGGCTCCACCACTGGAGGGTGCAGTCAAAGTTGAGAAGGTGTTAGAGGGCTGTGGTGGCGCCCAGGGCTGAGCACAGAGCCTGGCCAGGGTGGGAGTGCCAGGCGCCCCAGGCTGTGGGCAGGGAGAGGCCACAGACTTGGATACTGCCAGAGTCAGTTTTATTAGGGTCCAGGGGACCGAAGGGCCGAGGCTCCCCCTGCCCCTCCCCATGCCCCACTCCCGGATGTCTGTTAGCCCCAACTGTAGAAATAAATTTTCTGCCAGGCAGGTAAGTAATCCATGAGTGGCTCTGCAATGAGAGAGAGAGAGAGAGAGAGAGAGAGAGAATATGAATACACACAAGTTCAGGACTGAGGGCCAGACTCCTGGCTCTGCTCTGCCCAGGTTCCTTATCAGCCACTGTTGCTCAAGTACAGCTGTTCACATCTACACGGCCTGGAGACTGACCCTCACCTCTTCACCCCTGGGAGGCAGTAAAAGCAGCGATCTTTGTCTCCATTTACATGCTCATGCTCAGAAGCCACCCAGTGTGTCCAGCTGTACAGATGCTGCCAGCCCAGCCCAGTGGCTCTCTGCTGAGGTGGAATCTGCAAGCAGCCCAGTGGGCTTCAATCTCGCCAGAGTGTGTCCACCCAGAGTCTCATGTCACTCCAGGACATGGAGGCAGGGAAAAGGCTGATGGCTGATAAGGTCTAACTCCTCCCACGCCAGACACCCTCCTTCCAGCTGCCCAAGGTGCTACCGACCAGGCCGGCCCATGTCCAGGAGCTCTTCCCACCTAACGTGACCTCCCGCCCCCTCTCTGGTGGTGGCAAGAATCAAATTACAAGGAGACAAAGAGAAAACGGGGACAGGGCCATGCATGAGATCCACAACACACTGTAATAGTCACACCCCGCCCCATGCTTACTTGTCACCAGGCCAACGCCCGGGACATGGTCTGCCAGCAGCTGGAGCAGGAAGAGGATCCTGGCCCTGCAAGGAGATAAACAGGGAGCAGGCTGAGTGGGGTGTCCGGGTCCCTGCAAAGGAGGATGCTAAAACGCTTTCACCGACCACCTGACTGCAGGCAGTGCGTCAGGAGACAGAAAGTAACTATGAGGCAAGGACAAACCCCAGTACAAAGGACGAGATCTCGGGCATAGCTCCCAGCCATGGGCCTGGGATGCCCCACAGCTCCAGAGAGACCCTACTGTCTCTGTGACAACAGGAAAAGGGGGAGAAAAACTGTGCCTTCCCAGACTGCACCCTGCTCCTGTCCTCTGGGGAAACAAGGAATTTCTCTGACTGGTTTCTAGACCCTTCTGTCTGAGCACTGCTCTGAGGGTGCCAGGCTGATCAGCTCAGCGGAGAGCGAGCCAAGCTGGAGCCTGGGAAGCCACCTCTGCAATTACTGTTTCACAATGCCTGTCGAGAGACTGGGGCTGTGATGTCCCCTCTGTGCAGTGCAGGCAATCGGTGGGGTTGGTGGGGGGAGGTCATGAGGCTCCTGTGAGCCTCTTGAATATGGAAGAGGGTTTGGCTTTAGTGCCTTGTGAGCTTTCAAACTAATCTGAAAGCAGAACCTGCCAGACAGTTCTCCTCACGGAGGTGATAATAAACATGACATAAACGTGCTTTCTACCGTCTCAGAAAAAGACAGGAGTTGCACGGTCATAATATGAAGTACAGGAAGGGGTGTACTTTTTAAAACCTACAGAGGGGTCCCAGGAACCTCCTGCTGTTCACACCCCAACTGCTATACAGGGAACCCTCCTCAGATTCGGTCGGACCTCAGACAGTCACCCTGGCCGGCCCGTGGGAGACTTGGCCCTGGGAACCACACCGTCCTTCCCCGCTGTCCCCACAGGCCTTTCTGTGTCCGATGAGGCTAAGAGCTCTGGACCCTCACAGGTGACAAAGTGGGGCAAGGCAAGGGTCAGGCCGAGAGAGAACTTGGCTGTGGGGATCGGATCTGCTACTGGCCAGCTGGGTGGCTTTGTTTAAACTGCCCAACCTCTCTGAACCTCAAGTGCCTCCTGTAAGAAGTGGGGATAATCCAAACTACTTGACAGGAATGTGCAAGTGACCTGGAGGGTGTGGCAAGCCCAAGCCCACCACGATCCCTGGGCACGGTCCTCTGTGTCTCCTGCCAACAACTGCTTAAGCTCCTGCACCCATGGGCTGGTGGTCCCTAGTGCTCAGAGAGCAGGTCTAGGCTGGATCCAATAAGTGAACAAGTGACCACATCCCAGGACAGCACACAGCAAGTGCTCAGTGAACCTGGGATGGGGGAAGAGGGAGGGAGGAAGGCGTGAACAAGGGCTGGGACACTGGTATCCCACTTCCTGCCTCTCTCCCTTGCTGAGGATGGGCCCCGCCATTCGCCATGCGCTGTAGGGCCCTTACTCGGAGAAGCGGTCATAGAATGGGGAGCGCAGCAGGTAGTAGAGCAACAGGATGGTCCGACGCCGCAGCTCCAGCCGCTCCCTCCGGGTCAGGCCCTTCCTGTCACTCAGGAGGCTCAGACTGGGGAGATGAGGGAACACAGTTAGGACCAGCAACAGGAAGAATAGGGGCGCCTGCCCGCCCAGGTGGGGCCAGGCCTGTAGCACAAAGCCTGGAGGAGGGAGTGGAGACCCCAGACAGGCCCAGGCTCACCTGGTCACATCCACGACACCAGATAGGAGCCAGGGTTTCCACGACCGCTGCCCCCATAGGCCCAGGCTGAGCACTGATGGCCAAGGCGTCAAGGATGTCTCCAGCACGGGGCCCGCCCTGCTCACTCCTGTCAGTCCCTACCCCCAAGCGGCGGCGGCCCCATGCTAAGGATACAGTGCAGCAGGGGCCGGGCAATATACAAGGACTCTGCAATGGTTTCCTGCAGCCCCAGCGGAGTGGGGGTGACGCTCAGCTCCTCCCGGTGCTGCTGTTGCCGTCTCTCCTGCTGCTGGGGGGCTCCCCAGTGCCTTGAGTGCAGGGACGGAGCTAGAACACAAGGGCAGATGAGAAGCCAGGCCCAGGCTGGGCATGGGGAGGGCAGGTGGTGATGAGAACCAGGCCCTCGGGCCCATGATGACTCAGCACTGAGGTGCCCAGTCCAGCTACGTCTTACACTTACTGTTCTGGAGCGTTCGCACCACTCTGTGTGACCGCTTCCCCACGTATGACTGCTCCTGGCCGCTACCGCTGTGCTCACCATCTAGCAGGGACAGACAGAAGGCCATACTGTCAGAGGGACATGTTTCCAGCAAAGCCTGCGAAGAGTATGTGTGCAGTGAATGAAGGTCATGGTTTAAAGGGAGAATGGATGAGCCTGTGCGAAGGCAGCAGCTGAGGCAAGGACACTGAAGCAGCGAGAACCCAACCACATCTACAGAAACCACAGCACTAGAGGGGCTGTATCTTCTTAATCCCTGGCTTTCAACATGATCTAGAGGAGAAGCAAAGAACTGCCTCCATTCAAGGCCAGGAGAATGAGGCTCAGAGCCCAATAGGTGATGGGCCCACAGCTCTGAAGGGATAGATCTGCTGGGTGTCCTGCCTCATGAGCTTGGGGTTCTGAATACGGAGGCAGGCCCAGAGACGAGGTTGGCAGGATCCCCATCTCCTGCTGATGCTCTGTCCCCTCGTCATGCAGACCACAGAAAAGGATGAGGACTCTCATGTCAGAAGTCCTGTGTTCAAGTTCTGATTCTGTCCCAACCTAATTTCTCTCTCTCTCTCTCTTCTCTGTAAAATGCAGGGTGATGAGAACAAACGAGTTGATGGGGACAGATGTGTTCCATTAATGGACAAGATTCATTGGGTCAGCACTAAATCCACAGAGTAGTCCCATGCTCACTCCACCCCAGCGTGGGAAGCAGCTTACCCGGGGGCTGTGCCTGGGTCTCCCTGTCCAGTGGAACGATGGGGGGTGAGGTCTGGAGGCCAGCCTTGAACCAGATGAGCAGGAACATTCGCAGTACTGCCCTGGATTGGGAGTATGGCAGGGCTGGGGGGGAGGTGACTAGCCGGCAGGGGTGCAGAGGAGTGCTGTTGAACCCCATCTGTACAGCTGGCCTTGGTTACCCCCACCCGGGGCCTGCCCTCCACAGTCCCAACATACTTGGCCAGCTGGATGAGGGCAATGACGAGCCAACGGCCCACTTCACCCCACACCTTGGCGGCCCCCATCTCCATGAACACCTCCACACACTCCAGCACGCTCAGCCATGTTAACAGCTTCTGCTGGGACAGCGACTGCAAGAACCCCAGGCCAAGAGATCAAGGGATACTCCCTCTTCCCAAGCCTCCCCCAGGGCTCTCCTCTGACAGGAGGTGGATTTTCCCCTTTCCAAATGTGAAGGCCTGAGTTCCCCACCTGGGACAGGCTACTCCATGATTCTAAAACAGTCTCTTCACCTGAAATGGGGACATTGACACCTGGACACTTCACCCCATGAGATGACTCAAGGCTCAAATGGACAGAGGCAGGTCTCGTATTCTATGAGACCATAGCATGTGCTACGCACACAGGTTGGTTGTTACCATTTCTTTCCTGAGTCCCCATGCTTCCCGCCCTCAGTTCCTGGCAGAATTCTCACCACAGGCAGCTTTTTCCGAAGCTCCTTGCGCAGGATCCCATCGTTGAGCAGCACGAGCAGGTTCGAGGCAGAGTACACTGAGGGGTAGAGTGTGGTCTTGAGGGGCTGGCTCTGCAGCCTCCACCTCCTCACCTTTTCCCCAGAGCTGCCTGGATCACCTATCACCTGCTGTGCTCAGCCACCCACAGACTGTGTGGAAACCAACCTGCCTCCCTGCCCACTTCTTCAGAGCTCCACACTCCCCAATAGGATCTCGTGTGGCAGGCGGAACAAGAAAGGATGATCTCAGGGACAAACCAACCTGGAACTGCCCACTGTGCTCCAAATAGCCACAGATGTGTGGTTTCACCTCCTGGCCTCTGCTTTCTCTGCAGCCTGTCCCTGAAAGCCTATTCCCTCTCCACCTTTCAAAACCCAGCTCTTCCTTTCAGCACCATCACCTCCAGGACTCACTGGGCAAACACTACAGAGGCAGTCAGTCTGGGGATCCTGGCATCTGGGATCATCAGAGGCTGTTCTCTAACCTCACTGAACTTCTGTTCCCTTAACTGGACACTGAGGACAACAGCACTGACCTTATATGACTGTCGGGAGGATTAACTGGGCAAAGGCAAGGAAAGCCCTTGGTCCAGCCGCCTGACCGGTCAAGGAGCCCAGGTCTGTCTTTCAGCTATGGGGACACGAGGGCCCAGGAGAGTGGGTGCTGGGCCTTTGTGCCAGTCGGTCACAGCACAGGATGACCTAACGGGAAGCCCGGGACTGCGACTTGGGGAGGTCCCCCTCTGGGAGGCACTCGGGGCCCTCCCGCCCCCCACCCCCCACCCCCTTGAGCCCGCTCACCCAGCTCTGACAGCTCGTGCGAATCGGCGAAGCGACCTGAGAAGACACAGAAGGAGGCGTCGGTGAGCGCTGTCCCACCCTGCGGGCGTGGGTCCCTGGATGTCCCCTCCCTACGCTCTACGGGAACCTGGAAGGAACTTCTCCAGCACCGGGACCACTGCCCCGACTCCTCCGGGAAGGGGACCCGTGGGGTCAGAGGTCAGAGCCTCAAAGGGATGGGTCAAAGGTTGGGGTGGCACCTGCCAGCAGGTAACTGAAGCCCCGCACTGCCGTCTCCAGCTGGGCCGTGGCGGCCGGGTGACGAGTCACGTACTCCTGGTAGCGGAGGCCCAGGAGCCGCAGCTTCTCCATCCTGCCCTGGGACCGACAGACCCACTGACTGCCTGGGCCAGTGGTGGCGGCGCCTGGCTTCCTGTGCCCTCCTTCCTGCTTCCGGTGCTAGGCCCGCCTCTCCGTTGCTTAACTTCCGCGGTCTGGAAGGACGGTGACGTGAAGGGCCATTGAATCCCAGATCACCCATCTTTTTACATTGCCTCCCCCAAAGGTAGCGCCTAGCAACCGGGAGCCTAATCCCGCCCTCCTTGCTCCTGCAGGTCATTGGTTAACACAATCTCCGCCCCGCCCCACCCAGGCAGCTCAACAAAGTCGGGACTAGCTTTTCCGCCTTCCCGGTTGGCTGTCCTTGCGCATGCGCAGTTCCAGCTCCAGGGCGGTCTGGGCCTCACGTTCTAGAGGGGCCTAGAGTCTTTCCAATAGAACGCCGAGAGGCTCGAACGGGGGGACCGGGTGTTAAAGGGCTGGGAGGTAGCGCGCGAAAAGGAGCCTCCATCAGACTTGAGGGGGCGCCGGGAGAGTCTAATATAGTCGGAGTGTGTCTCGGCAGGCGCGTGTCGCCAATTTCAACGTCTCCCGTCGAGTGCTAGGGAAACGGAGGCAGCGATGGATCCTGCACCCCACGCAGGCTCCCTCCTCCGGACAGCACCGTCAGTGCTCTGCTTCGGACCAAGCTCCTGCAAGGACTTTGCCCACCAAGAGCGCGCACCTGCACTCCCACCTCCGTGGAGAAACCCTGGCCCGAGCTTCGGCTCTCGGCTGGGGAGTTTCCCTTCTCTGGACCTCGGGTTTCTCCATCTGTAAAATGGTTTGCGGGCAGACTTGGTCCGCTTTCGGGCCTCGACGCACCTCCCGGAGCTCAGCTGCTCCGTAAGCGATGGAGGCAAATCCTGGGGATCCCTTCCCAGTAGCCTCCTAGAAAGGGGCAGCGCCCCGCCGAAACCGGTTTGGCTCAGTGGATGGAGCGTCGGCCTGCGGACTGAAAGGTCCCAGGTTCGGTTCGGTCAAGGGCATGTACCTGGGTTGCGGGCATATCCCCAGTAGGAGATGTGCAGGAGGCAGCTGATTGATGTTTCTCTCTCATTGATGTTTCTAACTCTCTATCTCTCTCCCTTCCTCTCTGTAAAAAAAATCAATAAAATATATTAAAAAAAAAAAAAAAAAAAAGAAAGGGGCAGCGCCCCGAGAAGAGTGGCCAGAGGCGCGAGTAACAAACGCTCAGGCGGGGCAGCTGCTGATTGGCTGCGGAGAAGGGGGCGGGGCTGCCGGCAGGTGTGGTACCTGAGAACAGTAATATGTCATTTTAGCCAATCCCCTCCACCAGATACCATCTCCAGACGAGGGAAGGATCCGCTTCAGAACCCAGTCAAGCCCTAGCCCAGGGGTGGGCAAACTTTTTGACTCGAGGGCCACAATGGGTTCTTAAACTGGACCGGAGGGCCGGAACAAAAGCATGGGTGGAGTGTTTGTGTGAACTAATATAAATTCAAAGTAAACATCATTACATAAAAGGGTACGGTCTTTTTTTTTTTTTAGTTTTATTCATTTCAAACGGGCCGGATCCGGCCCGCGGGCCCGTAGTTTGCCCACGGCTGCCTAGCCGGTTGGGCTCAGTGGAAGGATCCCGGGTTCGGTCCCGGGTTCGATTTGGGTCAAGGGCATGCACCTTAGTTGCAGGCTCCTGCAGGAGGCAACCAATCTATGCGTTTCTCTCACATTGTTATTTTTCTGTCTTTCTCTCTTTTACCCTCTGTAAAATCAATGGGAAAATATCCTCGGGTGAGGATTAAAAAAAAAAAAAGAAAGAAGAACCCAGTCAAGATTGGAATCCTGGTCTAATCTGACCATTTGGTGTTTTAAGCAGCACACCTCACCAGGAAGCCACAGCCCCTCCTTGCACTCACTCCCTCGAGCCTTCTCCCCAGCATACTTTCTTCTGTCTTGGGCAAGGAATCACAGCTGCCCTCCCGACTGGACGAAAGGGGCCACATGCTGACCTGACAAGCTCAGGGGAGGCCTGCATGGCCGTCTTGCAAACTCAGAGACCTAAAGTAACCACAAAGGATGGTCTGAAATTAAACGTTCACGAAAGCAGTTATGGTGGGTAGTCACCTCCTAGGCCGTATCTTCACTGACAAGGCCAACCTTTACCTTAACTGAGCCTATCTGTCTTTTTGCATCTGTAATAACACTAGAGGCCTGGTGCGCAGATTCATGCACTGGTGGGGTCCCTCAGCCTGGCCTGCATCCTCTCGCAACCCAGGACCACTCAGGGGATGTCAGACTGCAGTTTCGGATCGGGCCAAAACCAGCAGTCTGACATCCCCTGAGGATGTAGTGTGCCAGGCGGCTGGGGAGGAGCCTGAGCCCAGGCTGGGCACTGCTCCCACTCATCCCAGCCCTGCTGTGCTTGCTGCTGCTCAGTAGCCGCAGTAGTGCTGCCACGGAGTCGGGAGAGACTCCAACACTGCAGCTGCGCCTTCCAGCTGTGAGCCCTGCCTCTGGGCCCCAATTGTCAGCTGAGCAGTGCTCCAGCTGTGGGAGAGCACTGGCCACCAGGGGGCAGCTCCTGTGTTGAGCATCTGCCCCCTGGTGGTCAGTTTGCTCAGAGGGTCGACAGTTTGTTGGGTTGTTCAGTCGTTTGGTCGCTTAGGCTTTTATATAGAGAGATATCCTTGAAATGTCTGGGTAACTTGTAACTCCCCTTCTTCTGGACCCCTTGGGGCACAACCTAATGTGCCTGGGCACCAGAGGTTTCCCCGCTTTGCTTTCTCCCATTTGCTCTATCACCAATGGATTTCATGTAACCCACCTACGTCTCCTCCTTTGATTGCAATGTGTAAAAATAGACGAAAACCGCCATTCCCCAGCACACTATCCCAATCCGTTGAGACACTGCTTCCCGGCAGTTGTCGACAGTTTGGCTCAAATAAACTCACAAAAATTCTTTACGGGTTTGAATGTTCTTACGTTAACATTACTCAGACCAAGGAATGAAGACCCAAGGAGATGTGTCCGGTGCTCTCCAGAGAGGCAAAGGCCTCGGAGAACACAGGAGATGGGCGTGGGCACCACTAGCACAATTCTCACCACCTCCTGAATGCCCGGCTCACTCAGCTCTTCTTAGCAACCTTGCCACGTTGCTAGGAAGTCCTTTCCACAGATGGGGTATAAGAGGCCCAAGGAGGGGGAAGGACTGGTCCCAGGTCACACAGAATGGCACTGGCCAAAGGGACAACAGTGTAGGTCTCTTGTGGCAGTGCTCTCTCTCCTATGGCTCACAGCCCAACAAGAGCCATTGGTTATGAGTCAAGTTAGCAACGGGCATGAAATTAAGACCAGGGCTCAGGGCATTTGGTGTAGGACTCTTTTTCCCTTCCTCCCTGTACCTTACCATCTTAATGAATTTGTTCCCCAAACCTCACCAGTGGGTACACCTCCACTCCCACCCTCTGTGGCTGTGGAAGAGTCTGCAGGGAGAGTGTGTGTGATCCTGTGCTTCTGGAAAGGAGAGAGGCATGGAAAATAGAGGGGCAGCCTCCTCCAGGCAGAATATGAGGGGTTCTTAGGCTTGAGCCTGTTTCTCTTGCCTCCCTCGGTCGTAGGCGGTGGGAGCAGCACCATTATGTCTGTTGGGGGAGAGGGGTCAGACCAAACCTGGGGTCAGCAACTTCAGTACTTGGGTTCTGGCTAGGAAAGAATTCAGAGTCCAGACCCAAGCTGTAAGAGAACAATTATTGGGTAAATTAAAGAGGTAGAAAAAGTGATGTCTAAAAGAAATGGGCTTAGGAAACAAGTTATGGAGGAAAAGGAAGGGCCATTGGAGCTTGGGAGTGGAAGCTAATGGTAATGTGCCTGGGGAAGGGAAAGGGAAAGCATGGATGTGCTCCCAGGAGGGACAGCCCACTGGGCTCTCTGTCCTAAGGGTTTTAAGGGCAGATATTTTAGGGGAGGTCTCAGGAAAAGAGCTTAGAATATTCAGTAGCTTTCCAGGTGTGTCCATTCAGGGTTGTAGTCTCTATTGATTGATTGGCTGGCACCGGGAAGGGGGGGTGGGTCATTATTCAATGCAGCTGGTCAGCCATGGCTGGTTTTATGCTTATCTGAACCTGGAGCTGAAATACAACGTAAGACCTAAGTGTTATCTCTAGGGAGGAGAGGTCAGGGGATTCCAACCTTGACCGTGATATGCTAGGAGAGGAAAGGTCACCCTGGGGGCAAGGTTCACTCTACAATTGATTGATTATTGCTAGGCACCTGGGGCTTTCCACCCTGAAGATCTTCTATACCTGGCCCATTGTCCTTGCTCTGCTTATGTCAGTCTAACTGCCTACAACACCTCTACCACTGGGAGGGGATCCTGGACCCAGCCAGGTTGACTGCAGGAGGGCTGCCTGAATTTCCTCTCCAGATTCTGGGCCTAATTAGGTCCCAGAGACAAAGAGTGGCTGTGTGCTGGCGGTGCGCAGGGCAGCTCCTCCCTGCTGGGCCACTGCCTGGATTTGATCACCTTGCTGGGTTGGAAGGGCCTCTGGGCAGGTTGGGCCAGGTCTCCCCTCCTTAACTCTGCCCTGAGCCACAGAGGACCAACAGGTACAGATAAAGACACTGAGGCCTGCCGAAACCGGTCTGGCTCAGTGGATAGAGCGTCGGCCTGCGGACTGAAGGGTCCCAGGTTCCATTCCAGTCGAGGGCATGTACCTGGGTTGCGGGCATATCCCCAGTGGGAGATGTGCAGGAGGCAGCTGGTCGATGTTTCTCTCTCATCGATGTTTCTGACTCTCTATCTCTCTCCCTTCCTCTCTGTAAAAAATCAATAAAATATATATTTAAAAAAAAAAAAAGACACTGAGGCCCAGAGAGTGGGTCACACAGCAAAGTGCTGGGCAAACCCGGTCTCAGGTCTAGAAGACCAGCATACTTTATATGTTCATACCCGTCTCCCTTTCCCCTCCACACCTGGAGGCCCGGCAGGCATCTCAGCACCTCAGTTTCCCCTGAATGGTAAGGTTGAGCAAGGGGTGGGGCCAGCACTGTGAGTGACCACAGTCCCTTTCAGTCCCAGGTGCTGACCCAGCTCCCCCCACCAACTCCCTTGGCAGGCCCTGACTGTGTACCCTACTTGCTCCCTCACATTTAACCCCCACAGAGAGTCTATTGAGGGTCTTGCAGAGGGATTCACCCACTCCCCACCCAGCTCCAGGTTGGAGATGAGAGTCAGATGGGGCTGGAGGCTCAAAGCTCCAGCCGCCTGGGTGGCCCCTGCAACCCTTCATCTCCCAATTCCCAGATCTACAAGGAGCTGCCATCAATCTCCATGACAACCATTGCCGCTGGCCTCCAAAGGCCCAAAGACCCCCATCTCCCAAGAGAAAGGCATCCTGGCCTCTCAGAGGAGACTTGAGGGTCTCAGGCCGGGGTGCTTTGTTACAGCTTTTTGGGGACTTGGGACCTCCCAGGCCCTCATTTTTTAAAGCTGGATGTTGGGCTAAAAGACCCAGATTGGGCCCTTTTCCAGGCCAGGTAGAGGCCCAGTGGGTCCTATCCACTTTCAGCACCACCTACTGAGTACGGGTTCCGTGCCAGGCTCTGCTAGGGTGCTGGGACCCAGACCCTTGAGCAGACAGCAGCTTTGGGAGAGACAGGTTATCTACATATCAACAAGGCCCAATCTCAAGAGGTCCTAGAGACAAAGTAAATCTAGGGAATGTGGTAGGAGGGGCAGGCCTTAGGGAATCTGGCAGAATCCAGGCAGAAGGAACTTCAAGGGCAAGTCCTGGGGCAGGAAGCCCTCAGGGAGGAGCAGCAGGGACCCGCCTGCAGGGTGGCGCCTGGGGAAGAAGGCCCGGTGTTCTAACAGGTCACTTTAACTCTCGGGGAGGAGAGCGCCCGTGTCCAGGGCTCGTGTGGGGGTGACTGCGATGAAGCTTGTGGAACAACGGCACAGAGCCTGGCTCGGAGTAATACGCTCAGTCA